AAATCACAATGGAAACAACGCCATTCGGCCACAACTTGGGTTTTCAATAATCCATTATCCGAGGTTTGAATAGCGCACGATTGTAGAGTATTGGCGTAATTTTATCCTTTCTACGGATTTGCCAAGCAATTAGCGACAATGATAACGGTTACGTTTATCACAAGCTCAAACTGAAACAATAACATCATTTGGCCAACTTTGGTCATCGATGGTATTGCGCACCACACTCCACATACGGTTATTAATTGGTTCTGCCAATAAATCAGTTGACTCACTGGCGAATCTCTTGCTTGCTCGCCAAAAAAAAAATGCTTTTCGATCTTGAGAACAACGCACCGATTTGTTCTTTTCATTGAAAGAGCTGTGTGTTATGAGCCACAAAAGTACCGGATATAAGTGGTTTCGTCTTCTGTTTTATTATCGATTTCCTTTCATTTTTGCATTTGCGTACACTGGTCAAGCAGAGAAAAAAACAGCAACAATAATATTCATACGACCTTCCGGTCTTTTCAATTCTATTGTTTCAAATTTTTTGAACTGTTCGAAATGTTTTGCCAGGAAATTTTGCTCCAATGCAGATTAGTCATTCGGTAGTGAACGTTTTTCATGGTAATTATATATTTTTAAGCCGCTGTCAAGAAGAACATAACTTGTTATTTGAAAAGGTTACCAGCGAAAATGAAACATCTGTTAACTGTAATTAAAACGTTTCTTTTTCGGTGGATTCTACCAAAAAAAAAAGAACCAACATCTTAATCAATTAAATGGCCAGCGGCAGAATGTTTCTTCTTCATTTCCTTTGGTGTCGATATAAATTATCGAAAAGTCCCAATTATATGCCACAAATGACAGCGTATCATTTATAAGAACCGAAAAATGAGCGTCACTCTTTGAAAAAAACAACAACAAAAACTGGATTCCCCAAAACAAAAATGTATGCACGCCTTTGTTCCATTCTCATCTGCATTAATTTCGTGATTATATGTTGTGCTGGACCCATTACGACGAACGAAACGGTGTTTGTTTTGAGTGGATGTAGCACAATTTTTTGGTTCGCATTCGAAACCATTAATTTGGAATTAGTGAAATTGGTACAGTTTTGCACTTTGAAAAGAGAAAATCTAATTGGCGGTTGCGGACTGAGAACACGCGATGAGAAGCAAATTGTAGATCAAACAAAAGTCTTTCAATGGACACACTAGACGCAGCACGTATGTGATTCCCACGCAGAATGAAAGAATCTAACTGTTGGAAAGATGATTTATTCGTTGGCGAGTATCATTTGACCAAAACACCGCTACTCGCAGACGGAATTTGATTAGCAATTCACTTTGCGTAGCGATAGCGGTCGTTGTCAACGTTGCTTAACATGCAGGGTACTCATGTCTCTATCAATTTGTGTTGAATTTAGAAAAACGTCATTATTCGCGATATCATTCATGGAAATGCATTCAATTTGTGACGAAAATGACAACGTGATGAATACAAGATATGATTTGAACAAGCATCGATCATGCGCCGCAAGATCTAATGTGAACGATTCCGATGCGGAATTTGTGCAGACACAAGAAAAGCCGTACAAATGAACGACAACATGATTAATGATGGAAATGTGTCTGTCGATGTGTGCAAAAAGAAGCAAAACCAAGTCACGACAATGCTCATGTACACAGGCCAAAGCAAAACAGATTACATTGAATGCGATGGAAATTGATATCGCGATATGAAAATGGCTTTCGTTTCATGTGTAATCATATCATAAATGCTGATCTGCAAAGTGATCTTTCCTTCTCTCGCTCTTTCCAGATCTTTGTCTATGATAAAATCGAAAACAGACGACATAAATTTCTATGGCACAGCTTCCGATTTACACGCGAGACAAAGATAGAGAGTGAGAGAGAGAGAGAGAGAAAAGTGCTTAAATTCGTGTACAGAATTTATTTAATTCAATTAAAATGCGATTTTCACTTTTTTCCTCTCGCTTAATTTATTACATACTTACCAACTTGAGCCTATCAATTACCATCTTTTCATCGTTGACTTAATGACCGAATGATGCGCGCGCAAATCATTTAATCGCATCGGCATTTTATTGTGGCGCGAAATTTACAACACAATGGTTTAGTTTTGTTAACAAAAGGCTCCAGTGTTTATGGGCTATTTGTACGAGAGAAACAAAAGTCCACAACAGCGGAGGAAACAAAATAAATGCCCATATTTAAGATGCAATCAAAGTGATTCCACGATTTTTCCTGCCATTTCATTTGGGTCTGACTCAGAGCGAAACCGTGCTGAAAAGAATGATTAATGCGATGAAAACGCCAAACGGCATAACTGCGCCGATATTTTTTTTATTCGCGTTGCACACATTTCCCTGTGTGACAACTGAGCGCCGACTAAATCATCTTGCAAAAGGGAAAAAAGCCAAACCATTCCGAATGTCTTAATGAAAAATCGAGTATCGGGAATGCGCGCATTTGTGCATTCGCAAACCGAACTCGCCCGATCGTACAAGCAAGCGATCAGACGAATGAACGAATGGTTTTTGCGCAGTCAGAAGCCCATTTATGGGATGGAATGGCCGAACGTACACAAGTCATAACATTTGAATACAATTGCTAAAATGCTAATGAGCATTTGATGATGAATGACGAATTAAGAACGGAAAGTTTGTTGTAAGCGGTTTAAAGACATTCGCCTCTCATTGCTTGATCTATGACCAACGGGAAAAATATTCATTTATTCAAAACTCATAAATCGCGCACTGGCAAAGACACACACACACACACACACACACACACACACACATCCAAAAACAACAGCATTCATTTCGCAAATAAATTTCCTAACGATTTCAGTACATTTTCAGTGATTTATTTGCGTTTGTGGCTTTGAGCCTGGGCGCATGCTCCCCCGAAAAATTCACAGAGTCAAAGAATGATCATCAACGAGATTGAAATAACAAGACAGTTATCGTTTTACGATCGATTTCCATGTGCCATAACTAATTGAAATGGCGTTCTTGGACGCCAAAATCAATAATTCATGCGGCTGATTGGCGTTCGTACTACGCGCCCGATTGACTTTAATGCATCTGGTGCTATTATGGTTTGGGAAGTGTGAAGGTGGTTTTTGAAACCGTGAGCGAATTTTCAGCGGGCATTTCTCACGCTAACGCACGGGGAAATGAATGGCTTGATGTGCTGAAATCATTGCATGCAAAAGTGAAATATTTTGCCCAAAGACAAAATTTCTGTTTGGCATCAATTCAATCAAGCCCAAAAGTCATTTCTGAGTTTGTGGTCAAATCCGGGACAAAACTTTCATGCGAGAGAGGTCAACTAATAACAACTTCGGATTACAACATTTGACAGCCGTTTATTTGAATATGAAATGAAAATAATATGCATTATGGATTCGGTTCATATTATACTTTTTTCAATAGAAAAGCAGCACATGAAATGCATTGAAGCACAAAATTATCGTTGAAATACATGCTAAATGACTGTTGTTGTGCGAAAATGAGCACCTGAAGGCATTTTTATTATAGGTTTTCAGTCTGTATTTTTTTTTTCACTTTATAGGCCGAAAAAACACTTTGGAAATATATTACGTTCGCAAGCCGTATTCATCATGGAAATAGTATTACACACTGAATCATGAGGCATGAAGTAAGGCTTTTCGCTTGAATTGAATAGATAAGCAAAGTAAACACAAACAGCAATCGCACTGCCGTTTTGGCTTTATCTGCCACTGAAAATGAGTCGCTCGCGCGGTCGCACTTACAGCTTTACACATTTCGTCGGTGGCTTTCGATGTTTGTAGTTGAAATTGAAATTTCACATTGAAATTCTTTTATGGACTGCATTCCATAATCATGTGAGCGGTGACAAATTAATATGATTTAAACCACAGTGAATAACGAACAAATCCATTTGTATGATTTGTTCAAAAGTCAAATCCATGTGTTGGCCAACAACACAAATTCTATGCTTACGATACGAGTTTTTCAAAAAAAAAAAATGATTGATTTTGAAATGTAGCGACAGGAATTTAATCGCTGAGTGCATTTCAATTTGCTGGACAGTTTGCGGTGAGAGAGCGAAGAAAAATCCGGTATCAAAATATGCGAAATGGAATTCTTTTGTTGGAACAAGTTTCAATCGGCTGAAACAGTAATGATTGAGAACCGCACCGAGCAAAAATGGCATCTTAAACGAAATATAACTGTACCGAACGAGCGAGCAATCGTACATGTGTGTGTGTTTGTGTCAAAAGCAAAAACATGGATTTGCATTCGAAAATCCTTTAAATAAAAAACAAACCACCAAGCCAATAACAAAGACAAATCGCCACACCAATGAAACATTTAATACAAATTGCTGTTTCAAATTGCAAAATTCAATAAACGGCTTGAGACAATCAAATCGCAACGAACAGAAAGCAGAAAAAAACACACATCATGTTCATTTATTTCACGTGTAACTAAAATGCCACCCAAGACTTTTGATCTAAGACATTTGTGTTTTCCAGTCTCTCGAATTATGACTGTGATCAAAAGGTACATGATTACTGAGATAGAAATCAATTAATCAAATTCTTTAGCGCAGCACTGAAAAAAAGATTGCTTTGTGTCATTTTCTCTGAATCAGAATATATATATATTGGTTCATGAAGCCATACAATCACCAGCAAAATATCGCGCAAGAGAGATCGCCGTCGCGGTTCATTGACACAATATTGTTCTGTTGGCCAACATTTGCCGAACTAAAGCAGAGTAGAAGGCAAATTGATCATTTATGCATATTTCATAGTTCTTAGGCAGAAAAGTATACGTATTCAAATCGATGGTCCACATTCTGAAAATGACGAGAGCGAGAAAAAAAACAACACTAACACACATTTCTAATGTATTCAATTATTGAATGAACCTTCAGTCATTTCTATTTCAACGCAAACTAATTTATTTGTTCTCCTTTTGTTTCTATTTCAATTTGCAGCACGCAAACTATGTTCGAACCGCAGCAGAGGAATACTTGGCCAGACGGCAAGCACGCAATAAATCAATGACGAAATCGATGACATCAGGCTTGGCCGGTCCAATTCTCGCCATGGGAAACGTACACTTTTTACCGGCCGCCAAAAGCGGAACCTTCTTCGCACGAGACAATGTATCCAATTTTATCTCATGGTGCAGGTAAATGATCCCTCTCTTCCCTCACATTTTGTTAGCTTAATCTAGCGACCGATTGCGTTGTTTGCAAGAAAACACAATACAAAGCCAATGCAAATAATTCACTAGAGCTAATTTAATGCTAATCTCTTTTGGCGCACACACTGAAATCGGTCAGCATTGATGCTGGTCCCATTGGCGACAAATAGGTCCCATAATAATGTTATTGTGATGCAAAACTGATGCGAATAAATGCACAGACGCAAAACGCACTGTTTCGAATTAATGTTTCTATTTTTAGCGCGCTTGCCTTTGTTCTAATACGAAGGTCACATCGACACATAAAAAATAAGAGTTTTATGATTCCAAATTAGACGATTATCTTGGTGTTTTTTTTTTTCGAAGCGTCCGACCAAAGGCTAAAATTATTCCAACGAAGGTGACAGTGTCACCGTGACACATAAGTGGCGAAGACTTGCAAATAGCTAATTTCGTTTTATAACTATGAAGAATAGGATTTACATACCAAAAATATCGCTGATATAATTACACCGTGTTGTTAGGTGCATTAATTTGAGCTAAGACGAAAGAGGGAGAGAGAACAAGATGATTTTTCTATTTGTCGAAATGTTCTGGCCTTATGGATTTGAATAAATAATCACTCTTCGAAATACACAGAAGCCATTGAATGTTTTTTTTTTCTTCTTTTCTCGCACAAAAGTGGGTTTTCGCACACAATTCGTTTCATTCATTTGAGTACGAAAATCGGCCAGCATGGTCAACTAAGAGGTTGTTTGTCTCTTTGTCAACGCACGCGCGCGAATGATAATTACACCTCGTCGAGTGACACCTCGTAAAGTTGACGCATTGCTATTCAATCTTATGGTCATTTGTCGTATACTCATTTTAGGCTGCAAGAGAGGAGAATACAGACAGCCATTGATTTTGTACCGTTTGTTATTGACAATTTGACACCTGGGAATGTGGTTGAAGTGTGTTAAGAAGTGATTAGCGGTGGTTATTGATATTTGTCTAGCAATCAAATCAACGGATTAAAGCATTCAAGTGGATATGATCCACACCGATTTTAACGCCCTAATGCAATTAATTGCTCGCAAGCACGTGCTCCACTTTAATAGCTCACACACGATTAACCGATTGAAGTGATCGATTTTTTTGTTACGCTTCAACACACCTTGCGCAAAGCCATTCAGTCTAAATGGCAGGTGCTTCGCGTTCAATGCCCTCTTTGAGTTTTTAACCAAATAAATCTTATCGCATATTTGCATTTGGCATACAATTTGTCGATGGAAGATTTGTAGCTGTTGAATTCTGATTGATGTGCGCCTGTCATTTCACCTGAATCTCATTTAAATACGAGAATAAATGTGTTTCTTGCTGTTGCCTTACAGAAAAAGCTTGCAAATATTTGAGTGCCTATTATTCGAGACGGATGACTTAATCATGCGGAAGAATGAAAAACATGTGATATTATGCCTACTGGAAGTTGCCCGACGTGGTGCTAAATTTGGTAAGATCGAATAATAAAAACGTTCAAAAGAATCAAACCCATTGTGGTTGAATCCGGTTCATTGAGAAATTGAATTTAACTTGCTTTTAAATCATTTCCTACGTTTGATTTCTTGTTCATTTCCATTCGGATTCTTTTCATTGTGTTTCGATTTTTGTCTTTCGCAACAGGAATGTTGGCACCGATGCTTGTGCAAATGGAGCGTCAAATTGATCGAGAAATTGCTGCTGATAATAAAGCGAACGGCGTTGCATTCGGTACACAGACCGAAGACGATGCCAAGCAAACGACATCAACCAGCACCGACACAGAGAATGGACTTTTCGACACCGATTCCGATGATGAAGATACCGAAGAGCCGATGCTCATGTACGGACCACAACCACAAATCATCACCAATGATTTGAAGAGCCTCGACGAAATGGTGAGTTCTTTTGTTTTTACTTTCGCTTTCAATTTGAAATTCAAACCGAAATCAATGGATCTGACAAAATCGTGAATATATTCATGAAGTTGGCTCGATTCTGGCACATGTCGCCGCATCAAATTACATTCAATTGTTTTGAAATCCAAATTCAATACGTTTATTCAGTTTGTTTTTGTTTCGAAATTTATGTGCATTTCAACGAATGTGTGCCCGGAATGAATTATTCTCGGAAACGAGATTCCAATTGAATTGCATTATAAAATGGAACGAATTGCATCCCAAAAAAATTAGTTGGTTCAGAACGTTTGAAGTGTTCAGCATGTTTTCGTTGGCATTGTTGACATTGTTGCTGTCGACCACAAACATTTTAACACAATCCGAAGTGCGATTCATTTGCAAGTCGGGTCATTTGCTGAGCGGTATGGAAAAAGTGTGTAATGGCCATGCCGATTGTTACGATGGATCAGATGAACTGGCTGAATTGTGTGCGCGAACACTGTGTCCGCCCGAATATTTTCGATGTCATTACGGCGCTTGTGTACATCGTTCGAAAAAATGTAACGGAGTTCGTGATTGTGTCGATTCATCCGATGAGACCAATTGCGGAAGAAAGCGAAACAGTTGCAATCCAAGTGAATTTAATTGTGGCTATCATGGAGATGACACCGATTTGTATCGCTACTGTATTGATGGTTCGAAAATTTGCGATGGAACCCTTGATTGTGCCAGCGGTGCTGATGAAAACAAAACCATTTGTGAAAATGCACTGTGTCCAGAGAGCTCATTCCGTTGCAATTACGGCGGTTGTGTATCGGAAAGTGTACTTTGCGATGGTTTCGTCGATTGTCTCGACGGCAGCGATGAATCGCACGTTTTGTGCATCACTTTAAAATGCCCGAAATGCACGAATTTTATTGTTACGTGTCCACCTTTGGTGGAAAATAACATAAAATCCAATCGAATTTTGAAAAAATGCGAATGGAATGGTCACCAAATACCATGTACGCTGAACATTTTACCCGGAACCAGAGTCACTTATGCGTGCAAAGATCATTTCAAGCCGAAATCACCGCAAGATTGGAACAATGACTGGAATCTGTGTCAGGCTGACGGGACATGGTTACGTGATATTTTGGAATGCGAACCGAATTGCGGCCAACACAACACCAGAATTCAGTCGATAGCAAACGAATCACCACTAACAATGCCATGGCATGCAAGTGTTTTTGTGGTGGAACAAAATCAGCAACCTAAATATATTTGTGGCGCTACGCTAATTTCAGAGGCAGTCCTTGTTACGGCCGCTCATTGTGTGTGGAAATCAAATGCGAAAGATCTGCGAATCTCTTTGGGCAATGTAAAAACGGAATATGACGATCCAGATGACTTTTTGGCGCGTTATTACGAAGTGAATGAAGTTAAGACGTATCTCTCTTATTTAGATCAATTGTCAAATTACGGATCAGATATTGCGTTGATTGAGCTCACCCGTAGAGTAGACATAGACCAAATAATTTCACCGGTTTGCATTGATTGGGATTTGGACGATATAACATCTCAGGATACAAATGATGAAATTGGCATTACAGTTAGCTTGAAAAACTCTACCTCAAGTAGCTTCTTACATGTCACCAAAATTCCGATCGTTTCACATCAAAAGTGTGTGGCTAAACAACCACCGGAATTCCGAAAATATCTCACATTTTCAAAGTTTTGTGCCGGTTGGGCGAATGGAACCAGCGTGTGCAATGGTGACAGTGGCTCTGGTCTCACCGTTTTGAGATCACACGGCCGATACTTTTTGAAAGGGATCGTTAGTGTAAGCCCTCGAAAGAAATCGACAGATCAATGTGATCCCAATCAATACACGGTCTTCACCAAAGTGGGCATTTACGTAAAATGGATAGAAAATTACCTGAACTACATTAACGAACGTGATAATTTACTACTTTCCGAAGAGCCATCCTCACAATTCCCGTGGAAATAATGCAACAGTTGACATCTGAACACTGACATGAAAATTATAGCCTCAAATAGAGATTGTAAAAATTAATTACCGTGACGGTGTCCGATTTGTTTTAACATAATATTTTTACAAGAGAACGAATAATAATAATAATAATGATAAAAAAGAAACGAAAAAGAGCTAGAGACTCGAAACTGAAATACACAAATGGAAATGTTGCTACCGCAAAATGTTGTTTGTTATTTGCCATTGGTGTTGCTTGTTCATGTTCACGTTTGTTTACTTCGTGTACTTTCAATTAAATCTCCATAAAGTAATCTGCATTTGACATTTTCACCATTTTCAACAAATACTCATTGGCATTAGCCATCGGCTAATCTATTTGACATCGCCTGCATGCATGTCTCCACTGTTTCCCTCTGCGGATCTGCGGGCGCTGTGGTATTTTTGTGACGTCGAATGTAAATTTGATCCCACAACACTTGGCTGCTGCTGATGTTGCTCCGTCAGTGCTATTGTAAATCGAAACGGGCGAAAGCTTGTCACTATGTCACATAAATTAAACAATTCAAGCATTTGCTTTTGAGAAAGACTTTTCGTTTCTTCCTTACTATGAATTTTCTCTATCGTAACACACACCTTTTTCCACGGCGAAAACTTAATTTATTCATTTTTCAATACAAAGTCGTCGTCGTTTTCACTCGGGGGCGCACGAGAAGTAGCCAACAATGTCGGTTTTCCGTTTCGGCATTTCTTATTTAGACATAATCGAGTCGAACAAGACGTTCAACAAAATGAGTGCCATGCTCTTGATTTCTGACTTCTTGACATTATTCTCATAAACATCAATATTATTAGCACACGATGCAGATGGACACGATTTGTACAATGTACACACACACACACACACACATGCCCAACTGTATAATTGTTCACATATCAAAATGGACAGCAACCAAACCGGCTGTGCGCACACATTTTGCTTGACAGATCACGAATGACTTGGCTTCAGTCAAAACACCGACAAACCATAATTATTTTGCATCATAATAAAATTGTATGTGCCCGAAGTGTTCTTGAGAATTACGGAGAATGTGAAACATCAAATCCGACATTTGACATCTCAAAAGGTTGGCTATTTCAATTTGCATTCATTTGAAAAGAGGAAAAAAAGACTCTTCTGCTAAATCGGGCCCATTAAAAAGTAAATTCATCATAAAACTACTTGCATTCAATTTTGTCACCGCGGAAATCTCCATTTTATTTCTTACTAGCTATCTCGTTATTCTTATTTTCGTTGGAAGCATCTTAAGTATGTGAAAAATCTTGTATCGTGCTTTAGTCATGCATATATGATAATCACGCATAATTTTTCTTATCGCATTTATTTGGGCATCGCTTAGATTCTCATTTTAAAGTCATCCAAGCATGAAAAATCATGTAACAAATTGTGGCTGATTTCAAATAAATCTATTCACTCTATTACAAATCTTTTCTCCGTCTCACGTCATCGGAACTTCGCTAGCAAATTGCATCCAAACACAAGAAGACGTCACACTGTCGAGAGAGAGAGAGAGAGAGAGAGAGAGAGAGAGAGAGAGAGAGAGAG